AAAAATCCCACATGCATACTACCCTTTAGGGCTAAGCCCTGGGTGTTTCAAATGTCTGGCTCCGCCTCTGCTTGAAGACCTGACCTGAGTATTTCAGAAACTACTGCAGAAACTGCTGCATGTTCTACAGTAATTTTCCCACACAGCCATCTTTAGGATTTACACCAAGGCTAAATATAATGTGACAATATAAGGCTGTCACATTATATTGGTCAAATTAACGTGGGAGGTACTAAATGACTCAGATGAAATATTTTATTTTCACAATAAGATTAATCTTTTATTTACAGATTTTTCCTGGAGATTCTTTAAAAGGCCCACAATTTCATTTTCTCAATAGTTAACACAAACTTCTCAAGATCATCTGTGCATGTCTGAGTACAAATCCAATCCAGAAAATGAGTGGGTGACAAAGAGGTAACAAATACTGAACTTACTGACCAGCTACAGATAGATCCCAACAGGACAGCTCCAATACCACAGTTGCAAATGTGTCTGCATTCATTTTTAGTATTTGTGCTTTTCCTTGTTGACTTTTGTCGTGGAATTTTGTAAATAAAGTCTGCAACACTGAAAGAGCTGTGATCAAACTGTCACGGACTGTAGTAGGACTCAGGCACAGAGCAGAGGTCAATGCAAGAAACAATGTTTTTTTACAAAGTCACCAGGTACAGATATATAGAGTGAGGGAATAGCGGGGGTCCAGGGTCATAAAGGAAAGTCCGGGAAGGGAATCACGTTCACTCTTGCTCCTCTCTTCACAAAGGTTCACACGTCGGGTTGGTCGCGGCTCCGGGGAAACTGTGCACAGAAAAAGGTGGGTTACGCTAACGCAGAAATTACAGACAAACTTCACAGAGCTACAGATGACAAAGCTGAGATTCACTAACGTGTCTCACACAATCATCCAGCGATGAGACTGTCTGCGTCCCGGCCTTAAGTGTCAAACCTGTAATTGGTGCCTGATGAGACACAGGTGTGTACGCCGAGGGCGGGAGCCCGCAGTGAGCTCCGGCCTGGCGGGGAGGCAAGAGGAGAACGTACACAAAAACACATGTGGCCTTGTCGAGCCGGCCGGGCAGACACGGGGACCATGACACAAACTATTTATTACTGCGCAGGAGAATACACATACACACTCCCAAACATGACAGGTTCATAGTAATGAGCATTCTAACCTCGGGACAAGCATGTTTATAACATCCCACAAACTGTATATCGTTTCAGTTACAACAGTCTTTTGTCCAGCCTGGGCTGTTGCTGCACAAACAAGACTCCCACTATCCTTTCCCAGGCCACCACCTGGCGCTGGCCGTGCACTTCATCCTTCTGAGCAAAACAGTTAACAGATAACATAGTGAAACATCGTTAGGCCTAGCTAAGCAGTTTTCACAAGCTCATGCTGACACATACTTGCTTCATCTTAAGCAGGTTATACAAAAGTTTATACAGAAATCATACAGTGAAGATGTACCAAAAGCAGCATTAGAGCTTGTGAAGCTTCAGATACTTTAGACACAATAGCCTGCAGAGACCTGGCCTGATGAAGTAGCTCGCCAGAATCGCAATCACAAACAAAATTACATTTATCACCAAGGTTTTACCCAAATGAGGAATTTGTCTGCTTGTCATAGTGCGCCAGTGGTACAAAACTGAATGCATGTCTCTCTCTCTCTCTCTCTCTCTCTCTCTCTCTCTCTCTCT